CAAACATGTATTAAAATTTCAGTGTAATTGGAAACTCTGTCTTCCTGACTTGTTTGCACCTCAGCAAGAGCCAGATGTGTAGTAATGGGTAGTATTATATGTAAAAAATGCCAATACCAAAGAAAGGGCTGGGAGTGAAATAGAACGTTTTTCTTCCTGTGGACTTTTTAGGGGTTAAATTTCTCTTACTCTTGAGAAAACTAATTTTGCTTTCCTTTCCCTCGCCTTGACTTTTGTTCCTCTGTTCAGAAACACAGAGGGCCCAGAGGAGGTGCACTGGTTCACTAACAGCCTTCTGCCTCTGGAGGTAACTTCCATGATTTCCCTAACTCAGGCCTTGTCTAAACTTCCAGATGGTCCACAGAGCCAGGGCTTTGGTTCTGACTCATGCTGGACCAGGATCCTTCATGTGGTCAGAGCTTCTGTAACTCTTGAGTTTCATTTTGCTTCTTAGAGTCTGTTTTTGTCCCATTCCCAGGGGTTCATATGTGATGCTCTGCTCCTGTCAGCTTGTCCTTGGGCTGGCATGCAATGCTTGTCTCAGTGGCCAGCCCTTTCTGCACACTTCAGCTTGAAGACTGTGGCAGTGCTAAGGCTTCTTAATGGGTTTGATTTACTCTGGAGCCATGTTAGGTGTAGTTTTAAGTTGGATCCCAGAGATAGAGTGGTATTCAACGCTCTTCATTTAAACTAATATCTATTCAGCAAAGATGTCACTGGCTGCCTGACCCATACAGTACTTCAAATTGTTGTGTGCACTTTAATATACTGATTCTTTTAAAATATCCTATAAGAGACTGCCTCTCCCTATTGGACCTAATTAAGTTTCCTTTTTATTTTTTACTGTTTCTGAAGGATAGTGTCAAGATTTGTGAAATGGTATGTGAGAAATGATGAAGATGTGATAGAATCATTCAATGTTCAAGAATGGAAAATGCCCAGATAAACCCAGGGATGGCTTATACCAAGATTACTTCATGGTGAGGAGATACTAAGTGTAGCTTCTTCCTTGTAAAAATATGTTTTATGGTGATACAAGTGCATGTTCTAATTTGGAAGGAATGCATGGTGGCATGGACACTTTTTAATAAAGGTGCTCCTCTTGGGTCCTGAAAAGTATGAACTAATACAATATTTGTCCTTCTGTGATTGACTTATTCATTCAGCATTAATGTCCTCCGAGTTCATCCACATTACGCAGTGTTTGGAGATTCTACATTCTTCTTCAGTGTTGCATAGTATTCCATTGTGTGTATGTACAATAGTTTGGTTAATCATTCTTCTGTTAATGGGTACTTAGGTTGTTTCCATCTCTTTGCACAGCCAAGCTCTTTAACCACTGCACCACCAGGGCTCCTTCTTTGGTATGTACAATTCAGGAAATCTTAAGCCTAAAAACTCACTCTTGGCTTACGCTTTGATTAAACGTTTCTCTGCCATCTTGCCTATTAAGCAAGTGCTTTAGTGAGCAATGAATATCCCTGTGATGTAGTTGCTTACGGAAATAACCAGTATGTAATGTGGTGTGCTGGTATGTATGTGTGCATCCATTACTCTTAGGACTTTTTTCAGGGTCACCGTCATCAAAAACTGAATAGCATTTACTGATGACTGAATTTTTCATCACCAATCAAGGTTCATTTCTACTGCTATTTTTAAATTATATAGTGAGGCATGATTTATGTTAAAAGCTTTGTGAACCAGGTACTTTTAATCCAGTCTTTGAAACTGTCATTAATTCTCTGACCAGAAAGAACCAAGCCCACATTTAAACTAATGCTCTCCAAATTATCTTTGTTTGCCTGCAACACTGCTTCTACAAGGTCACATTCTGTATTTCCAGTTCTCTGAGCCTAGCGTTTTAACTAGAACCAAAGGAATGAAGCATGTTTTTACATAAAATGCAATTTGATGTCTATGCACATAAATTACAACAATACGACTGACCTGTAAACATCTTTGAGGCAGCGTTGTAATTTTCTAGTTGGTTGTGCAAGCAACACTTTCAAGAAATAACCAAGTGTAATTACGCTGTTCAGGGATGAATGGGATCCACAGAGGGCTAGGAATAACTTATTTCCCTCTACCATTTATAGATAAAGGGAGGGTAATACTCAGAAAAAAAGCACCCAGATTTTACTTACTAGCCCTAAAACATCCCTGCTTAGTGTCATCAAAACCCAAACCAGGAATATTTAAAATAAAGTTAACAAAATTTTGAGTTAAAAGAATTTTGGTGACTAGTCCCAGTCCTTCACATGATCTCTTTTTGTATATCCAGAGACCACTCCAGTTTTGCACCGTTTTTCTTCACATCTCAGAAATCAACAGTGTCCCTATTTCCTTAGTCCAATCCTTGGTCCAATTTCGATTATCAAATGCAAGCTAATGTCGACCCCCAGTACCTGCCTGCCTTTTTAAGTAGGTAATTGGCTTGACCTTCAGGTCTTCCTGAGATCCACACCACGTCATCCAGAGCCTCTCACTGAAGCACTTTATTCTTCTATCCTGCTCCCACCTTTTATTTCTACAGGATCCTGGCCAAGACAGCTCTCTTCTAGTACAGTATTACCTCGCCCAGTCCAATCCTTCTTACTTTTAAATTTTCATAAATCTAACAGCCAACTGAAGTCAGCAGTGATACTGTTTATATTCATTATTGCATCTGCTTGCACTGAAGGTACATGTTTTTTTTTTTTCCTTTAATACATAATTTTTAACAGACTGATTGTCAAAACTAAGCTTTCTAAGAGGTAAAGCCCACCCCATGTCTACCTACCTAAGTCATCATGTCCAGCGTCATTTATAAGCGGAGGTCATTAAGATGCACATGGCAAGGATGGTTAACTACTTATTCCTCCTTAGTTCTTCCTGTAAGAATTACAAAATCATTTACATATTATATTAAGGTGTGCAATGCCCAATCTGATCTTTTTTCTTCCTACACTGTACTTGTGTGTTTTGGGATCAGTCAGAAAATACTTCTTACCAAGTGCTTTAGGTCTCTAGACCGTAGCATTCGTTTAGTATACACATTAAACAATGAAGTTGGCACTAAACTGTTGGCTGATGGTCCAGTGTTACAGGTGAATGAGGTAGGGCACATAATATACCTGATGATATCACCACTTTATTTTGGACCATATCTTAATTTATTTGAGACTAGGAGAACAGGTTCCATGACTGTCTTGGCAACTTGGATGTTATTGTTCCCACCAAGTTTATAGTGTAAAAAGAGGTCCTTTCTCATATTTATGTATAAACAGGTACCAGTTTTGATTTTATTTCATATTAACATACATGACACATCAAAATGAGAAATGCGCAATTTAACCATTCAACAGCTTACCTTACACCAAAAGAACACTATATTCATATTAAACATTTATACAGTCCTTCCACCTCACTTTACAAATGTCCTACACCGTCTTCCAGCATTTCTCACATGTCTAGTTTTGCTCTTTAAAATCACCATCTGTATCATCCTAGTAGACTCCAGGGCTTCCCCTACCATCGTATGCCAAGGAGGACCAGCCACCATGCCACCCAGTGACACCCAGGCAGCTACAAGGCTTGCCTCCAAGGCTGCCCTTTTGGCAGGGTAATCGTGATTCCAAGAATTGATTATCTGACATTAACAATCAAGAACTAAATGTTGTAGTGTATGACTACATCAGAGTTACAGGGAGGAGTGGGACCACGGCCAAGAGAAACCCCAAATGATGAAAGGCAGGTTTCTGCTGACAGATCTCTTGTCAAAACCAAGTCCTCCAGCCCTCCTAAAACATAACATTGGAGCTATTGCTTTCATTTCTTAAAAAAGTTTGACAATTGTGACCAGACTCTGGAAGCAGTGAGCTGTTACACGTTTGGTGTGTTGTATAAATAACACCTGAAAAATTACTGTGTGAACCTTGAGAAATGTCTGATTACATCAAAGATTTACAATTGCAGCACATATATATATATAAACCAACTCGGATCATTTAACAGAACTTTTTCAGTATGTTAACAATGTACTCCGTATCTAGTGTACTCTTTCTGCCTTCACTTATGCTCTATCATAGCACATACTTGGTGCATAACCAGTTATGTCCATGAAGCACACAGTTCTCATGATCAAGTCAGTCAGTTTTTACTCATGTCACTCCATGCTGGTTTTAGCGGTCACCACAGGAAACAGGAAGTCACATCCTAGTCAAAGGATGTCCATTTCTCAAACATTGAAAAACCTGAGATGTGAGTCAGCAACTAGCTACACTGACAGTAAAGGAAAGAACAATGACAATGACCACTCCCCCCAAAAACAAAAAGAGCTGCTGACATAAATTAAGGCTTCCTAAGAGGACTGTACTGTAGTTGACAAAACTAAAGCCAGGAAATTTAAAAGCAGGTACATGCTATCACTGTGTACTTGTTCTAATCTCTCTGATTTCCAGCTGCCAGGATTGATTCCGTACAGTGATTGTAGCTCGAGGACTGAGGGCGTACCTTGGTCTCAGCCTCATTCCGATAATGCCCTTTCTACTAAAAAGATGCTGGAGATAGTTTCTGAAAATAGCGTGTTTGTGGTCTTCCACTGGATCAGCAACTGAACAAGATTTAACAACCTTCTCATCACCTTCTTACACCAGCTGTTTGATTCTGAACATTCCTTGCTTACTGAAGTCTCTCTCAGCCCTATTAGTAAACTTGAAAGTCTGAGGAAATTACAGAAATACCACCTTCAAGTCATGCCAAGGGGAGAGAAAAAGACACACAAACACACTGAGAAAGTAAGTTTCCTGCTTACTTTCATCACTGAGTTTCCTCAGCAACTTTACATTCCTTAATCTAATCCCATAGTTTTTCTCCCTCTTGGTAGTTTTCTATAAAAGTCTGCCTTTTTTCCCCAAGATGAATCCATGCAGTGAAACAGAAAAGGAAAACATCAACTTTGGCTGAGAACTTGAAGGTGCTGCTGCTCTGCTACCAACCCAAATAAATTCACATTAGGCTCAAAACCAAGTTAATCTTTATATCAAGGATCGACAATCCCATTTTACACAATTCTTTGATTTTTAAAGAGGGAGGTACACTTATTTAGCCTCCCAACTTCAGCTTTAATCATTATGTTGCCAGATTCCTGGCTATTAAAATTGAATCCTAGCTCCTTCTCTGTCTTCGTAAAGCTGAGAAGAAGAAAAATTTTAGCTACCTCCATTCAGGCCCAAGTGGAAGTTCGTGCACATATAGTTTGAATTGGTCTGAAAAGTGTGACTAGCTACCTACTTATTCACAATGCTTCAAAAATGGGCTCCCAGACATGGGTAGTGGTGAAAGCCCCATCTTTTCTGTCTGAGGTACTAGGTTTGCTCTAAAGCAGATCTTGGCAAGTCCCCTAATGGTCTGTCCATGGAATGATGCATGTGTCACTCACCTGCAGGTGAGCCTGGATTTGTGGATCAGCTTCCAATGCAATCATTTCTTTTGGATGTACCATTAGGTTTCTGTCCCTAATGGGGTCTACCCACCCGACCCACAAGCTGGCTCAGTGTCAGCGCTAAGGTGCACTATGGAAGGGACTGGACAGAAACTAGTATTTGAGATATCTTTGTAGCACAACACAGAAATGGCAGGGGATTTTGTCCTCTAATGCCAAATAAAACTTGCTTTTATAAGAACAAGGGGATATGCAATTTATTGCATAAAATGGCTCTCCATCTGTCTAGGGGAAAATCTAGCATCTGCCCTTCCACTTCTGTTGAGAGAAATGTTCTAGCTATCTCCCAAATGCAGATGTTAAGCGAGAACAACTGTGTTGATCCATCTTTTGCTTTTACACTACAGCTCCATTTTCCAAAAATATGTATGTATATACATATATATATTTCAGATTTACAGGGAATAGTTTTTGTGAACAAGGAAAAAAGAAAAGTCCACAGAAGTCATAAATGTCTGTCTTCTCAGGAAACCTCAATGATTTCCATGCTGCCTGAAAAGCTAGACTGACTGCCCACTTTCCCTAGTTCTTCCCGCGACCTGTTCTCCGACATGATGCCCTCTCCAAATTCCATCTGGCAGCTTCTGCGTTTAAACTGCTTTTCAAAGGGGCTCTCTTCATGCCAGCTCCGCCGTGAGTCAGCTCTGTCACTTGGCTTCTGCCGTCTGCGCACAGAATAGACCTGGTCACTGCAAGTGGGCAGCTGGCTACAGCTGTAGGCAGAGTAACTGGCATTGCCTCCATAGATGGCTGAGGCAGAGTAGAAGTGAGAGGACTCTGTGGCAAAATACCAGCTATTGGTCAAGGAAGGAGTAGAGGTCTGGGGAGCCAAGATATCTGAGTGCCAGCCCTTGAGGCCCAGCCCAGCAGCAGACTTTGCAAGGTGTTGCTGGCTAGTGGAAAGGCCAAAAAGAAAGTTGGTGTGATAGTTGTCTTCCACACTCCCACTCCGATGTAATGGGGATAAGACAGACCTCTGGGTGGCACCACTGTTGCTGGTTCTTACTGAGTGCAATCGCTTGCTCTGGCTTTCTGAAGGCCTGGTAGTCTGGGGCTTCTTGGGGATATTGGCTTCCTCCTTATCTGGGCTGGTTTCTGGAGTCTGCTCTGACACTTCCTGAACTGGAGAGAACTGGCATAGTTTGTTGGTCCCATCCAGACCACTGGAGGGTTTGTAGTATTCTAAAGCATCCTCTGATGAGGAGAAACCATGCAAGGATGCTGTCACACTGGCTGAGTATGAAACAGACTTGATATCCAGAGAGAAGGAACGCTTGAGCTTATTGCTGTCTTCCAGCTTGTCTGAGGACAGGTGGAGCCCGTTGAGCGCCTGTACCAGGGGACTGTCCTCCAACAGTGCTGGCTGCATGCTGGGCAGACTGGCAGGGTGCATAGGCCTTTGCCCTGCTGCGTCTGAGGTAGCAGAGTGGGCACAGGGTGGACTGAAGGACATCTCACTTTTCTGTCCACCCTCTGAGACTGCAGGGACAGGTTCATTTGGCTTCTCCAGGTGCAACAGCTTGAGTTTGCTCTTTGGCCCTGAGGCTCCAGTCTGGTTCTTAATCATCTTCTCATAGTCCAGGAGTTGGCCCAGAAAATTGAAGTTTGGAGATATAGTAGGTCTTTTTTCTTTCACAAATCTATGAAGAGAAGAAGAAAACAAGAACTTGAATTTGCACACTACATTTCATTTGAAGAATACTGAGAGTAAATGAGATAGAGATTACTAGAAAGACCCTCCCAAATACCTTTGGAAGCTATTTGGGTTAAAAGTCCACGGAGATGCCTCAAGGTTGAGAATACAAAGGGCCTCTGTTTTAGGATAGCTTTAAAACACGTACTTGGCAGCATGCTAGAGAGAGGCAGGCCAGGCTCCCAAAGCTCTAGTTTTAGCCTCATTTTCAAGAACCCAAAGCTTCCACTACAATTGAGAAGAGATGATTCTACCATCAAGAGTCCAATGTAATAGCAACTCTCCAACTTCAGTTTTCCAATATCGTGCCCTTTCCAAGTCCCCATAGTCATTTCCTCAACACATTTCACATTAATGAGAAAAATGGAGGGTATCAGATAGACTTCCAAAGCAGCCATTTTCAAGTTCCTTCTCTTTGTACTCAACATAACAGAATAACCAGCTACAACACAGACTCTTTGTGCTAGATCTATTGCCACTGAATGGATTTCGACTCACAGCAACCCTACAGGGCAGGCTAGAACTGCCTGCTGTGGTTTCCAAGGCCATAAATCTTTCCAGAAACAGACTGCCTTGTCTTTCTCATGCAGCGTAGCTGGTGGGTTTGAACTGCCAACCTTTGGTTAGCAGCTGAATGCTTTAACAACTGCACCACCAAACCTCCCTTCTCTGTGTGCAAGGCATCCCAATCATGCTTTAATAAAGTATTACCGCAGTTATCTGTACAACTGCCCTGCCAGGTATGTGTAATTATCCTTATCATACAGATCCATAAAGAGGGTCTTAAGTGATTTGCCCACAGTCACACAGGTATAAATGATGGGGCTGGGATTCAAACTTGGTCTGCCTGAAGTCTGGGTCCATTTTTGTTACTACCATGTTAATAAAGATTAATCAAGAAATTAAAACTAGTAATACGTTTCATTTCAAAACTAATAATATGTTTCATTGAAGATACAAAGACTCTTAGAGATAGTAGACAAATTCTTTACTGGTCCCTAAACCTTGTTGTTGTGTTGTTATTTGCCCTCGAGTGGGACCCGACTCATAGTGACCCCTTCTTGGGTTTCTGAGGCAGTATCACTATGGAAGTAGATTGCCCAACCTTCTTTCCGAGGAGTGGATGGTGGGTTTGAACTGCCAGCCTTCTGGTTAGCAGTCAAATGCCTTAGGCACTATGCTACCAGTGCTCCCGACCTGGCTACCTGGGGGGAACGGCTGGTGGGTTTGAACTGCCAGCTTTGGGTGTGGCAGCTGACTGCCTGAGGCCATTAATACTCTTCAGAAGATGATACAGGAGTGAAAGGACATTGAAAATTTGCATCTAAATAAGGGGAAAGAAATATGAAAAACAAACTACTTGGAAATCAAGTAAACTATGGCAAATTAACAAAGCCAGAAATAAGTGGCTCAACTGTAGCAAGTATAAATTTAAGAATCTCATAACAAACTTAGTAACATGATGTATGAGTGCATTTTCTTCTGGTTTGTACACTGCATGGGAGGAAATCAGGAAGAAGAGCCTACATGGAGGGTGGGGGACTTCATGTAGACAAATGGAGGCCCCATCTCCCTCCAGGCTCCTTTCACAGATGGAAAGCCAGTCACATGACCCATTTCTTCTTTCCAAACTGTCCAATTTGAGAAAAAAGGTCAAAAGCTATTAACAGGCCTGCTTCATATGTTTACATTTTTGATACATCCTTTAATTAGATGGAAACTAAGCATATCTACCCCACAAGACATGCAGGGAACTCAGATTCACAGTCACAAGACAAAACCTACTTCTTGGTGGCATTACCACATGCCTGCCTGCCATCCTGAGTAAAGGAGTGGGCAACCAGTCAGGATCATACACTTCTGAAACAAAAACTCTTCACCATCAAGTCAGTTCCAACTCATAGCAACCCAAGAGGACAGAGCAGAACTGCCCCATGGCGTTTGCAGGGTTGCAGTCTTCACAGGAGCAGACTGCCACATTCTTCTCTTGTGGAGCAGCTCATGGGCTCAGATCACCAGCTTTTTGATTAGCAGCCAAGTGTTTAACCAGTGTGCCACTAGGGCTCCTCCATACACTGCCAGTAACTGCAAAATCTGTGCAACTCTAGAATGTGGGAAACTTACTCAGTGAATAGACTGTGACAGTTACTTGGTTTTACACTTGCATGTATTAGACTTTTACCTCATGGTACAAGGCTTAAAACAGAGCATTTTCTCATCTGTAAATCAAAGCAAAGGACACTCCTCCAATTAAGAAAAAGACTAAACTCACACATGGGATGGATTTATTTGGACTTGTTTGTTCCTTAAACTTAAAAAGCTAACAGAAGATGAACTTAGCACATGTTAAGGCAAAATTAATGCTAAATAATAAAAATGCCTTCTACTCTAATCTTTGAAAGACCATTTAACACTCCACAGTAACCTATAAACAGTATGACTAAAATAAACTTACTCTGCTTTAATCTGATTACCAACCCTTACATCTTTTCACTTTTCAGGTCAAATTAAAAGCCAATCCATAAAAGACACAGTCCTGTCCTCACCTGTAAGCTTCATCTAAGGACATATCCATCCTCTTCATGATGTAGGCAATGGCGATGGTGGCGGAGCGAGAGATCCCAGCCAAACAGTGCACTAGCACACATCCATTGGAGGCTTTTGCTTTCTCTGTAGAGTCAAACCAAGAGGGGGCACTTTAGTAACAAAACCGCTCAGCAGTGTTTCCATTTACTTACTTAGTATCTCTATCTGAAAAGCTAAAAGCCATTCTCATCTATTTATATCCTATTTATTCTTTCACTATTCTTTTGAGGAGGCAGGGAAGACAGTTGCCCTACCATTTGCATATAAGACAATTGAGGCCCCAAAGTTCTTACCAAGCAAGTTGTCCCTGACGTCCATTTCAGTACTTTATACCATTTTTTTAAAAAAATATTATTATTCTAAAAAAATTCTGGCTATAAATCTCTTATTGTGGATACATGATACTACTTGCTTAGTGTAGAACCTTTCAGAAATACAAAAAATAAAGAAATACATACATACATGCATATATATATATATATATATATATATATATATATATAAATAAAATTAAAACTATCCAAAACCCCATCCCTAAGATATAACTACTAATACTACACATATTGTCTGACACCAAGTTTTTTCTAATTATGTAAAAAATACACATTTAAGAAAATCTATTTTCATTTCAAACATACGTGGCACACATGACTATTTAAAACAGAGGCCGATGGGGGAAGAAAGGAAGAGAAAGAATCATAATGCCAACATATAACAACTCAAAAAGATGCCACATCAAAGTACTTTTGAAATGCTGAAAGTCACAGAGCCTATCCTCATACTAGTTTCCCTGTTTTTCTTTAGAGATAAAGAAACTGTGTGTATCTATGAATCAAGATTGCCAGGTTACGTTATTAGGAGGTCAAGGGAATTTTTCTCCTCTTCTTGATATCCAGAAGTTACTGTCTTACTATGTCATCATACTTCCCCATAACATGGTACAAGGATTTGTGGACACTTTGTTTGAACCAAAGAACCAAAGAGATTCAATCCAACAGTGCTGCCGTATTTCACTGTTGCAGGGTTTGATGAGCTTACTCATGCAGGAATGGACGATGTAATCCCACAAAGCTTGGAAGCAACCAACATTTTAACCAGTACTAGCTCTGGCAGCATAGTGCTTAAGGCAGCTGACTGCTAACCAGAAGGCTGGCGGTTCAAACCCACCAGCCACTCCTTGGAAGGAAGGTTAAGCAATTTACTTCCGTAGTGATACTGCCTCGGCAACCCAAGGAGGGATCGCTATGAGTTGGGGCCGTCGACGGCACATAACAACAACAACGACTACTTTAAGGAGCTCTGATAGCTTAGTGTCTAAGGCATTTGACTGCTAACCAGAAAGCTGGCGGTTCAAACCCTGCTCCTCAGAAGGAAGGTTGGGCAATCTACTTCAGTAGAGATAATGCCTCAGAAACCCATGGAGGGGTTGCTATGAGTCGGATCCGACTAGACAGGAGTGAGTTTGGTTTTTTGGTTGGTGGTATAGCGGGTAAGGCATTTGCCTGCTAACCAGAAGGTCAGCATTTCAAACCCATCAGCTACTCTGTAGGAGGAAGATGAGGCAGTCTACTTTCATAAAGATTTATTGCCTTGGAAACCCAATGGAGGTCACTGTGAGTCAGAATCGACTCAATAGCAGTTGCCTTTTTTTTTTTTTTTTTTTTTTTGGTTTATGACTACTTTGGCTCCCCAGGTGGGGCAAATAGTTAAGCACTTGACTATTAACCAAAAGGTTAGTGGTTTGAACCCACCCAGAGGTATCTTGGAAGAAGGGCCTGGTGATCTGCTTCTGAAAGAGTACAGCTTTGAAAACCCATGGATCTGCAATACACGCGCTTGGCATGAGTTTGACTCAACCTGACAGCAACTGGTTTGGACTTGGATGACTACCTTAATTCTAAACTATTACGTGTGCACTTAGTTAGCCATGAAGCTCTTGCCATGGACTACATTTCTCCCCTTTTCATTCTTGTTGTAGATGATGAAACGAGATGTTTACCAAACCTTATGTGAAAATTCTTATAATTAATTAACACATATCCAGGGAATCTGTTCTGGCAGCTGAATAATACGAGGTTAAAACAAACTGCAATCTCATCACCTATGCTGTAGATATTACAGATTTCTAGTATTTAAGATTAATTCATTCAATCATTATGTACACTGCCACAGGGGTTTTGGTATCATGTGAACAACCAGGAGCTTTCTTTCTAGATAGGGAATCTAAACACAGTAATAATAAAAGAATATAAAGCAACAGTGAAACAAGTAAGTAATGTACAAAATAATACTATATAAACCTGTGTACATACAGCCCCATGCCTTCCTGTACCTGCAGAGTTCTCTTCCTTCTCTCAACTCTACACTCAATAGACTCTGCCGCTCTCAGTGTTTTTCCTGTAGCTTTGGCTGCTAGACACGCAAAGCTAAGGTTATTGTCCTTTTTCAAAAGGAAACTGCAATTCAGACTTTCTGGCAGAGTTACTGTACTTTTCCTCATCCCATATTACTTGGTTCTGAATCTTTTATCCCATTTTAATGTGTGTGTGAATGTGTGAATGTGCATGTCCTTTGAATCCAATCTCTTCTTGTAAGCTGCTTCAAATCCTTATTTCAAGAAGACTGGATTTAAATTTTAAATTTAAATATTGATAACATTCTCTTTTTTTTTTTAAATAATTATCTCAATAACTAAACTCTAAGAACCTAGAATGGGAGTAACTATTCCTAACAGTCCCCCAAAGGATTTAATGCTGAGCACATAGTATGCACCCAGTAAATACTGGCAGTCTGACTGAGATGTATTTTTAAAAGCAATCTGTATTTAAAAAAAAATATGAAAAAAGTTATAAGGAAATAAAATACAATGATGATAACAGATTTGTTTGGATGCTGAAGTTACAGATTTCCTTTTCTCTGTTTTTCAGATGTTCTGCACTGTGATTATACTATTTTTACAATTAAAATTCTTTTGATATATTTTAAAAATGAAAATGAAAAAGTGGTTAGACTGGAGTGGGGTTCATTAGAACAGATTACCTGGGAGACATGATCATTAAACTGAATCTTATAGCAAAAGGTGTCACACGTAAGGACCTGGCAGAGAAGAGAGGAAAACGTGCACAGAAAGGCCTTTGCGAGGACTGAACAAACCGTGCAGGGAACCTGTGCCTTGGCTGGCACACACGAGCTGCTCAGGAGAAGGTTTTAAAGCTGGGAAGCAGGTGTTGGAGGGTCTTGGGAATGTTAGGCCAAGGACTACATTTTTTATGTAAGCAATCAAGGAGACACTGCAGGTTCCTCAATAGAGGAATAGTAAGAAGAAAATGGTAGTGAAAAACCCAATTAAGAAAAGGAGATTGCCACCACAGAAATTCAGGAATAAAGTCTAGGTTAAAAAAAGGGAAGAGGACAGCAACTTGGAAAAGGACAACAACCAAAAAAGGTAAAAGAATCAGTGAGAATGAGAAGATGCAAAAGCTAAAAAGGTAGTAACCAAATGAAGGTACAGAACACAGCTCTTGAGGGGGAAAAAGAACATCCCAGATAATTTTTTTAAATAGCTACTGTTTATTAAGAGCCAACTATGAGTCAGGCACTTTACAAGGTGGTCTATACATATTATCTATTTTAATCCTCATGATATCCATATAGGGCAAGTACATTAAATTCAGTTTCCACATCAGGAAATTGAGGCACAGAGAAGTTTTAGTAATGCCCCAAATAAGCAGGACCTGAATACAGGGAATTTACCTTCTAAGTACATGTTCTTAATCACCACCCTATATTACCTACATGCAAAGTCATGAGGGTGATATGGGTGAGGTGGGGCAGAGGCCAAGAAAACAGTGAGGAGGGAACAAGAGCCTGTGTAAGCAGCCTGCCGAGGCTGCAGGCCCTTCACAAGTGCTCCACAGCACAAACAGGCAAAGTCTGCCTCTGGCTGCTGACATTAGCCAAAAATAAAGCTCTAAAATGATTTGAGACCTACCAACAAACCCAGGGATTTATTGAAATTTCGTCTAAATAACAAAAAGAATATTAAAAAATACTTACAAGCCTTTAAGTTATTAAGTCCTGGTATGGGGGTACATCTTCAAATTATATACTCACTCTGCTACAACTAACCATGGCTTAAAATGCCATGTAGAAGATTAGCAGTTATAGTGAGTACAGGCTGGATTCAAAGTGTGGGCTGGAAGTTTATCACCCACAGTTCCTCACAGAAAGAACTACTAAAGTATGTTCTTGAGCAAGACAAAGAACAGAGAAAACAGGAGGGATACAAAATGTTGACAAATTTAATTAAAGTTCTACTGTTTTTTTAAGTGGGCTGGCTATTTTGGCCTGAAAGATACATGGTCAATGGCCTTAGTAAATACTGTCAAAGCAAGTAACTATTACTAAATAAATAACAATATTTAAAGATTTTACAAATAAATTGTGATACGTGCATGTATTTAACCAACTTGGAACATGGTAAAGTTTCTTTTGTCTGAGTTAAAAGTGGTAGAATGAAAGAAGAAAACAAGTTGGGGACAAAGTTATTTGTATTATTTCTTTTCTACTAACTCTTCTAAAGTTTAGTCATTACCATGACTTGAGTGAATTAAGTTTTCTTCTAAAAAGATTCTGAAATTGTACTTTTGGCTGAAATTAGAGCCGATGTTCTCTGGAACAAAGTGACAAAATGGGAACATTAACCATAATTATCCTCTAAAGAGGCAAAGGCTGAATGAATGCTGCGTATTTCCTAGGAGGGCAATATAGGGGGTTATTCAGGTTGGAGATTTGTTTGATGATCCATTTAATGTGTATTACCTAAATCATTCATCTTCAGCTATTTCACAGAATAGGGCCTAATTTAGGATGGAAACCCTGAACAAACTGGAAATCTTGAAAAGAGAGAACTGTTTTTGAATTACAAAAGCTTCAACAGCATTATCTAGAGAACTCATCTCCCAGGTGGAATATACCGTGGGGACCTAATTTACATAATTTCACTTTTTTAAAAGAACTAATTCATATATTTTTAAAAATCATAGTAACCAATTCAGAGCATTTAATTATGTATTAGAGTGTTCACACTTACTTATGTGACTAGGAAAAAAACAAGGAGTCATACCTTGTGATGTTGTTCAAGATCTAGCAATATTCCTCTTATGTTCAGCCATTCTCTACTAAAGCCACATTTCTAATACACCTTCCCAATTTACTACCAGCAGACCTGATCCAATAGCCCCAAAATATCAGAACAGCAATGAAGCTTACAGTCAGGGAAGCTCCAGAACTGAACAGGCCTAGTTAGCAGAACAAAGTATGATATGACAGATCAGATCCTGTCATAGCCAACACCAAGGAAAAGACCAAATGTGTGTGTGAGTTTTGTGTTTTATTAGAACCACTTCTGGTACTGCTTGAAATGACTGGCACATGGACTGAGGTTTAGAAATCTTGTGATAGATTTTAAATGCAATGAAATTTGTTTTCATAGAATTTGACTTTTCTCTGGAGAAGACAAGTTTAAAAGAATGCCACCAGAGTTTTTAAAATGCCTGTTACGGGATTTGAAAAAGTGAGGGAGAAAATTCAATCCCAAAAGTTTACTGATTTTTAGATACTTGCTGTTATGAGATTTGAAAAAGTGGGGGAGAAAATTCAATCCCAAAAGTTTAACTGATTTTTAGATACTTGCAAATAATCACACATCCTATCATTTATTACCATGTTCCAAGGTGGTTAAATACACACACAAATTTAACCCTACCATAGTAACTTACCACTAGTTAAGTTTGCTAAAATGTTATAAAGCCATTTCCTTAGAGATGGCACGGCTCACACCTTTGACCACAAAATAAGATAAGCAAGATCATGTTTTCTTTTTTTCCCTCTGAAAAAGATTCCTTTTCTCTCAAGATAAAAGGGAAGGGAGGCACTTACTTATCCATGAGACTATAACCCAAAGGACTTGAAGTATTACTCGAGCTACTTACCAATAAAATCTACTGATTTGTCCAACCATGGTAAAATTTTCTCACAAAAGCTATCATTCACAGGTACTCGCAGGAAATGAGACTCGGGGATAAAGTCAGGCTTTGGACAGGTATTGCTGGCATTTAACACATAACCAATCCCATTCTGTTGCATCAGCTCCTGTGGAGGGGCAGAGCAAGTAAAATGACTAGTAACAGACTACCAATCATTTTGAAGAGTAAAGCTTAACATAATAATAAAAATTACCAAATTGCTTGAAATAAACAGAGTTCACTAAAGCAATGAAATCCAAAAACAAACCAAACTCACTGCTGTCGAGTCGTTTCCAACTTACAGCAACCCCCTCCTTGGGTTTCCGAGGTGGTATCTCTACAGAAGTAGATTGCCCAGAGTGGCTGGTGGGTTTGAACCTCCCACCTTCTAGTTAGCAGTCAAATGCCTTAGGCACTACATCACCAGAGCTCCCAGTGAAATCCGAGAACCCAGCAAAATACCATTTAGAGGCTAAATTTAAAGTAGGATTTGTGTGTGTGTGTGAGAGAGAGAGTGAGAGAGAGAGAGAGAGAGTGAGAGAGAGAGAGATTTGGGTGAACGTTTACAAAGCAAACTCACTTTCCATACAGCAGCTCACATACATGTTGTCTCAAGACACTGACCACAATTTACCACAATGCAACAGCTCCCCTCCCAGTTCGTCCCCATAGTTACCTCTTCCCTGTGTCCTTCCCTCCATACACTCCTGTCCCCTGAGCTGTCTCCCTGTGAATAAACACCCCTTCTTTCTCCCATGACTCTTCTCTCCAAGAAGTGTATCTACCTAGTGTAAATGTTCACCTATCATATGCCTGTCTTTTGTTTGGCTGGAAGCCACATGTATGGGTTCAATTCCAAACCTGAAGGGCAGCTAGAGGCCATAGTTTCAGGGGTTCCACCAGGCTCTATCAGACCAGCAAACCTGGTCCCTTTTTTTTCCCCCAAGTGATTTTGAGTTTTGTTCCACATTGTTCTCCTTCTCTATCCAGGATCTCCTACATGGATCCCCCTCTGAGTGGTTGACAATGATAGCCGGGCACCATCTAGTTCTTCTGGTCTCACAGTCGGTATAGCCTGAGGATCACATGGTGTACCAGTCACTTGGACTAATTATTTCCATCAGTCTTTGGTTTTCTTCATTGTTCTCTGCTCTGGATGAGAAGAGACCCATTATTGCATCTAGATGGCTGCTTGCTAGCTTTTAAGATCCCAGTCACTACTCGCCAAAGTAGGAGGTAGAACAATGTTTTGTGTAGTATGTTATGCCAATTGAGCTTGATGTCCCCTGCAACCATGGTCCTGAGCCCACAGGTCCAACTACTCGCTCCCTCTGGGAAGCTGGCTGTGACCAAGAAGTGACTACAACCTTGTCCCTTGTCAGCTCTACTATATACCTGGGAATCCTTACAGAATATACAAATGCACTTGTAGAACCACTGTCTTAAAGCAGGATTTTTTTAAGGACAAAAAAACCTGTTTAATATGGTATGCTCAAAGATCATATCTCATTCATTAATACAGTCAAATCTCCGTTATCTTCATTATTAGAAAGAGAAGTGGAACAAACAATATAAAATAAAACTATGACAATTTAATTTCACTTTAGAATATATGCACATGCAATGAAACACCATCTTTCCACACTGAGCATAGTGATAGTTCTCTAAGATGCAGTTCTAGGCAATCTTCTCACTCTAAATGCACTCTGAAGGCTGAATCTATTTCCATGGCCTTATCAGCTCTATATCCTGATGACTCTTAAAATTTAAATAATGTATATTCATACACACATACATACATACACATCTCTTAAATTCTCAACCTGTATTCTGAATTACCTACTGGGTATTTCTATATGGATAGCCCACAGGCTTTCAAACACAAAACATCAGAAACCAAACAGTATGTTTTTCCCTTTTCTGCCTCAAATGTCCATTTCCTTTCTATAATCCCAAAATTGTTTTATAACAACAACATCCGTTCAGCCACTTCAGCTAGAAAACAGGATCACTGACTCCAATCTCTTCACTACCCCCTCCAAAGGGTTGCCAGATCCTTTTGGTTAGACCTCATGCATTTATCCTTTTTTCTCGATTCCCAGTCACTACTCAGTGGTCAACTCTCACCCAGATAACCAAAAGAACGGCTGGGAAATTCTCCTCGTTTGCAGTCTTTCCCTTTCCAAACCATATTCTTAATTCCTGGAGTAATATTTCTTAACACTGAGACATGGGCTAAGTGCTTTATCCAGGAGCTCTGATGGTGTGGTGGTTAAGGCATCTGGCTGCTAACTAAAAGGTCTGTGGTTCAAACCCACCAGCTGCTCCATGAAAGAAAGATGAGATAGTCTGCTTCTATGAAGATTTACAGCCTTGGAAAACTAATGGGAGTTGTTATGAATTGGAATAAACTAGATGGAAGTGAATTTGGTATTTTTTTTGGTAAATACTTTATCCATACTCTATCTTTTAATTTCATCACATCTCACTTGCTGCTCCTGTCCCATACAAACCACCACCAAATCCTGAAACCTGACATACATGTCCAACCCTGCGTGCTTTTTCTTTTTTAAAATTTTTATTGTGATTTGGGTGAAAGTTTACAGGTTAAATTCATTTTCTATACAGCATTTCATACACATTGTTTCATGACAATGACTGCAATTCCCAACAATGTAACAGCTCTCTTCCCACTTCCTCCCCATAGTTACCTGTCCCTGTGTCCTTCCCTCCTGTGCACTCCCACCCCTCACACCCCAACTATCTCCCTGTGCCAACCCTCTGTGCTTTTTCACACACCATACCTATGCTTAGAATGTTGTTTCTCTTCCTGATGACTTTCTTCTCACTTTTCCTACTTCATTTTCATTAGCCTTGTCTATGAACTGGTGCAAATTAACCATTCCATTCTTTTCTTCCAAAGCACTGTTAAAACCATTAGGAAAGCACCAACCATAGTGTGTTTTAATTAGCTGGTATTTCTTGGCTCTCCTATTAGAATGCAGTAATGCATGAGATCTTGGACCAGGTCTTATTTTTACCTTCAGCACCAGGTAGAGTTGCACACTCAATACTTGTTTGTTCAACTGACCCCATCTACCATTTACCAGGCATACCTATACCCCACTTCCTTTAGTCAACCTGCTGCTGCCTCTAAGGATATCTTCTAAGCCTGGAGTAATTCTCTTTCTTTTTCTAGCAACCTTGGTCATATAGTCCTTTTTTCTTTGAAAGCTACCATCTCAACAAATCTTTTCCAACTACCTGAAAAGTAGTTGGTAATTTTCTTCCTATTTAAGGAACATGACAGTTCCCTAATCTCTTCATTCACCACCTCCAAAATGCATTCGGCACAATAAATACACTTCTGTTTTTTATAAAAGACGCACGCAAAAATCCCACATTGTATGTAACCCTCTCCCGATTCTGAGATGAGTCACGAAATAGTTTTTGGAACTAGATGGCTTCTTAGATTGACCAGCACCCATCAGCTATGGCAGAGCCCAAGTCTTCTGATGGTCTCCTAAGCTTCTGTTTAGTTAATAATCAGGCTGTGACGATGCCAATGGTGTTTACTGCACCCTTTAAACTTTTGTGCACATAGCAAAGGTCACATTTGTTTTTCTGTGGGTGAATCAAAGATACCAAGTGCTGTCTAACCAATCATAGGGTGTAGAAATGGGTTCAGTATTTAACATGGAAGACACAGGGGGTCACTGGAGTTAAGTCAGTTTTCTCAAGCCTTTCTCACTAATGTTCCTTGATGACAGGAATCATTGTATAGTTCTATTTCATATACTGCTTCCCTTTTTTGTTTCTACAAGCAGTACTACAAAGATTCATTAAATTAAAAGTGAAGGGAAGCAGTAAATCCCTTTGCAGCCAATTCAGAGATTCAAGATACCATGGAGGTTTCTGGGAAAAAGGGACAATCAAAAGACAACAGGCAATTCTCACTAAGGACAAAATATACTGCAAGTCAAAACGATGACTGCAAAATTTGATTTCCCAATAGAAAGAATGTAACAACATATACTTCTGACAAGGAGCTTGATAACCTGTATTTTGTAGAAATGACCACTTATTTAATCAACTTGGAAAAAAGTAACCAAACTCACTGCCATCAAATTGACTCGCTCAAAAATATTTATTGAGCACCTCTAGTAAAGGTCTATTAATAATATTATGGAACATAATAAAATACTGAATCTAGAATGTAATTAATGGCTTCTATGTTCCAGGTAGAAGCCCTGGTGTCAATGGTTATAGCACTCTTCTGCCAACCAAAAGATCAGAAGTTCAAATCCATCAGCCAATCCACAGAAGAGAGATAACCGGCATCTGCTTCTGTAAAGATTTACAGCCATGGAGACCCTCTGGGCAGTTCTAATCTATCCTATATAAACCCATCACCATCAAGTCAATTAAGACTCATAGTGACCCTAAAGGACAGAGCAGCAGTGCTCCATAGGGTTTCTTTCGAAGGCTATAAATCTTTATGGAAGCAGACTGCTTCATCTTTTTTCCCACGGAGCAGCTGGTGGGTTTGAACCACCCACCTTTTTACCATATGCTTTAATCACTGCAACACCAGAGCTCCTTCTGTCCTATATAGATTTATTATAAGTCAGAACCGACTTGACAGCAGTAGGTTTTGGGGTGTGCCAAGTATTGTGCTAAGCATTTAAATATATTGTCTCATTTAATCCTCAAAACTACCCTTTTATATGAGTACTATTAATTATCCTCATTTTACAAATGAGAAAACTTAGGCTCAGAAAGTAATGCAGTCAGTCACACAGCTATCAAGTGGTATAAAGTCAAGATTCATATCCCAGTATTCCAACTCCAGAATCTGCCCTGTTGTTGTTGTTATGTTTCGTCGAGTAGGACCCGACTCATAGCAACCCCTCCTTGGGTTTCCAAGGCAGTATCACTATGGAAGTAGATTGCCCAACCTTTCTTCTGAGGAGTGGCAGTGGGTTTGAACCGCCAGCCTTCTAGTTAGCAGTCAAATGGCTTAGGCACTAGGCTACCAGAGCTCCTACAATCTGCCCTAAGTCACTATATACTACTAAACTTAAAAAGAACTTTGCTAAAAAATCAAATGGAACAATAAAGGAACTA